CCATAGATAACGTCCAGTCTGATTCACGACCGGTGAAATCGGGAATCCCTCAGGGCTCTGTGCTTGGGCCACTTCTTTTTTTAGTTTTTATAGACGACATCGCCAATGACATCCCGGTTTCTATTAAGTTATTTGCAGATGATTGCATTCTTTATCAGGAAATATGTAGTGCAGTTGACCAGGTTCTTTTAAACGCAGCGTTAACAAAAATATCTTCTTGGTGTGCAGTGTGGCAAATAAAGATTAATGAAAAAAAAACGGTAGCTATGACCGTTACGCGCAAGCGGCTCCTTTGAAACACTCGTATTCCATCAATGGTCAAAAACTATCATTTGTTAAAACTTATAAATGTTTGGGGGTTGTATTAAGTGCAGATTTAAAGTGGAATGAGCATGTTGCCTACATTGAAAAGAAAGCTTTACAGAAACTAGCATTTCTAAGACGTTTTTTGCGCAAATCTACTCCAAAATTAAAATTAATTGCATATAAAACTTTTATCCATCCGATCCTCGAGTACTCATCTGTGGTTTGGGACCCTCATAGCCAAGTAAATATTAAAACACTTGAAATGATTCCAAGAAAAGCAATCCGATTTGTATATAATCGTTACAGTGCTCTTACGTCACCCAGTGAACTGTTAAAAAAAGCTGACTTGGATACATTGCAGGCAAGACGGCAACACGATACATTGCAGGCAAGACGGCAACACGATAAAGTACATGTTTCTACTTTACCACGACCAGCTACGCATAGACAAGCACGCGTACATAAAAACGGTTCACCGCCGATCAACTCGTTCCGAGCATCCAAAAAAACTGAAGGAATATTCCTGTCAAACAAAAGCCTTTAAAAACTCATTTTTTCCGCGCACTGTCACTGATTGGAATGCTCTTTCTGCCGAACTGGTGAACTGCGAGACCGTTCAGTCGTTCGTGGAAAAACTTAAACACCAGCAACCCACTTGACTTTGATCTTTCTTTGCGCTTCGCCCTCTATTATTCCACCGCGCATCCTGAACAGGCTTCCATTTATGTACCACTTTCTATCACTTTTTTCATATCAATGCGTTGTATTTTTGAAATGTTGCCAATTTTTGAACTGTTATATGATGTTTGTTTCTTAGTTCTGTATGAACAGATGTTTGTAATCATAGTTTTTTTTTGTACGTGTACGCGTAAACCACTACAATTGTGTAAGTACTGGCGTTTTACTTTGATGCACTAGTTCTTGATGGTGTAGCTCTACGTGACGTGTTTCCTTTCCTGTTGTATCTTCATATTTGTTTCCTTTTTTGTATCACCCACCCCTACCTAAGGCCTCATGTGTGAGGCTGGCAGTACTTCTGAAATAAATAAATAAATAAATACTACTTGCGGAAGGCTGTTTTGGAGGATTTTTAGGACTCGATGTATCTCAGTGTGGGCAGGGCACTCTCCCTTGCCTGTGGTGGTGTATATGAATGCTTTTCCCAGAAGAGAGCCACAAGGAACGAGAGGGAAAGTCTTTGGCTGGCGTCATCGGCAGTGGCCTGGAAAACGGCACCACACAAGGACACTTCGGGCAACCTGTGCAGCTGGTCACCCTCAGGTCGAATCTCCTGCCGGCGGACAAGCTGTTGTGACCGGCGCCAGAGCTGACGAGGGAGCGGTGCTCTTTTAATTCTCAAACAAGTAGCCGATCGGCCGGCTGCCTTTACCCGCCAAGTATTGTCCCTCCTAGCCAGAGGGTGATGAAACATTGTGTTGCCACGACGCCGTAAGCCGTTAGAGAGAGGACAACAAATACAGCATCTTCCTTGGAAAAGACCGTGGAAAATCGCCCCGCTAATTAAGCGAGCAGTTCGGCGGACCCTTTGATGTATGCTGTTATGAGTTTGGGACCCCTCGACCAGCGGCACACACACGACGAAGAAGAGCCCCGCTGGCACCACCTTGGAGTGCAGTGATCACGCCTCAATATTAGACGTTCACGTGGGCTGTGCATGCTCGTCCTCCTTGCCAGTTTTGTGTGATCTGTAATTGGACAGTACCATCTGCACGTGTTCCTTGATCTAGGGAGCATGTACCCTTTATAATGAGCCACCCGGCTCATTCGAAGGAGCGCAATGTAGAGGAATGCCAGATTCGAGAGCTCGCCATGTAAGAAAGAGCTCGTCATGTACGAGAGCTCACCATGTACATAAATCCTCTTCAAGTCTCTCTTCCTCCTGCCTCGACAAGTTCATCCCGGACCTCCGGTTCCTGCAAACCCCAGTCATAACACTACTGGCGAATAGCTGCAGATGACATGGACCGAGAAAAGACCGGGTTCTTTACCCCTGACGGGTCTTTACCAAATCAAGGTTATGCCCTTTGGTCTTTGCAACACTCCATCGACCTGCGAGAGAATGATGGACAAGCTCCTACAAGGATTTAAATGGTCGACATGTTTGTGTTACCTGGACAACGTGATCATTTTCTCAACTACCTTCGCAATCCACCTTGAACGCCTTTTGACCATTCTATCACTAATTCAACGGGCCGTCCTGCAGCTCGATTCCTCCAAGTGCCACTTTGGTCTTCGTCAGATTACCGTGTTGGGTCACTTGTTGACGCTGCTGGCGTACGACCAGGCCCGACGAAAGTACGCGCTGTAACAAACTTCCCAGTACCACGCTCTGTCCATGATGTGTGCAGTTTTATGGGCCTATGCTCCTACTTTTTCCGGTTCGTGAAAAACTGTGGCACTTGCATGGCCACTCACCGACTTTCTCAAACAAGACGTCCCATATTGTTGGGGCCCTCTTAAAGCTGACGCCTTCTCTCAGCTAATCATCGCTCTTACGACACCTCCTATTTTTGCACATTTCAACCACAATGCTCATAAAGAAGTGCGAACAGACGCGAGTGGTCACGATATTGGCGCAGTTTTGGCGCAAACTCAGCGGGGCAACGACAGTGTAATTGCATATGCAAGCCGTCTGCTTTCAAAGTCTGAACGCAATTACTTTATCACAGAACGGGAATATCTCGCCCTTGTTTGAGCGGTTTGAAAATTCCGTCCTTACTTATACGGCCGCCTTTTCCATGTCATCACAGATCATCACGCATTGTGTTGGCTTTCTTCTCTGAAAGACTCCACTGGACGACTTGGCCGTTGGGCATTTCGCCTACACGAGTATTCCTACTCGGTTGCTTACAAGTCTGGGTGTCTCCATCTGGACGCCGATTGCTTATCCCGCTACCCTGTTGTTCAGCTCGACGAATCAGACATCAAGCCTAGCCTCAGCGTCATGTCAATGTCCCAGTTTCTTCAGATTGGTGATGAACAATGTCATGATGCTTCCCTGGGACAACTTATTGACAGTCTCGAATCTGCTCCTAACGGCGCGTCCCTTCCAATGTACATCTTCCTGAATAGAACGCTGTACCATCGTAGCCTCCAGGCAGATAGCCCTGAGGTCCTTCTTGTCGTGCCGAAACAATTGCGTTCAACCGTACTGCACAAGCTTCATGATGAACCAACTGCTGGTCATCTAAGTGTATCTCGGACGTACGATTGTGTGCGTCGCCGCTTCTTTGGCGCGGTCTCGGCAGGTCCGTTCGCCGTTACGTGTCCTCCTGCAATAAATGCCAACGTAGGAAGTGACCTACTGCGCCCTCGGCTGGACTTCTTCAACCAATCTCCATCCCAACCGAAGCTTTCTTCCGTGTTGGTAGAGATCTTCTCTGTCTTTTTCCCGAGTCGAAAACGGGCAACAAGTGGGTCGCCGTTGCTATAGACTACGAGGCTACTGACGCTGCGGACTTTTTGCTCCACGATGTCATCCTACACCATGGTGCTCCTCGCCAATCACTCACGGATCGCGGCCGCGCATTTTGTCTCGAGTAAACGACGATCTACTGCGCTTTTCTTCGACGCAGCACAAGTTGACCACTTCCTACTATTCCCCAACAAATAACCTTATTGAACGTCTAAAGTGCACCCTCATGGACATGCTCGCGATGTGTGTGTCCTCCGACCACCATGACTGGGACCTGGCGCTACCTCACATGACCTTCGCGTACAGATTCTTCGCGCCACGACACCATTGGTTATTCACTCTTTCATTTGCTCTATGGCCGTGATCCGACGTTACCACTCGACACCCTACTTCCAACCACTACAACGCCATCAATCGTATATGCACGCAATGCTATTGCTCGTGCCGACCACGTACGTCAGATCACCCCCTCTAGACTTTCGGCTTCGCAAGCCACCCAGAAAGCCATCTACGACAGCCGGCATGTTGACGTTCGCTTCTCACCCGGTTCCCTCGTTCTTCTGTGGTGCCCAGTTCGTCGAGTTGGCTTATCAGAGAATTTGTTCTCTCGCTACATGGGTCCTTACCGTATCATCCGACAGGCAGGTAACCGACGTCATGAGATCATTCCTGCATCTGAGACGACAAGCCTGCCTGCAACCACACCCAGTGATGTTGTGCACATCAGCAGGCTAAAACCTAACCACCTCCCTTCTGAAGACCCTAATTAATGTGCACCGAGACTGCACCTTTACCACCGGGAGGTAATACTACGTAGCTGACATATAAGCGGTCAGAAGACGACAACGAGGAAATGGTCTGTCAGTTGTGTGTGCTGTCCTCCATCTTAGTCGATGCTATATGCATCAGTGTGAATATAGATTCTGAATAGACACGCCTTGTGTCATTTTTACATGACAATATTTTTTGTCATATGCTTTGATTGATGGGTGCTCAAATGTCAGTGGTGTTGTGGCCTTTTATTTCGTTTTTGTTAACCTTTTGTCAACTTTTTACACGGTGCTGTGCCAAGAAAATGGACATCCCTCGACCCTAAAAAACAGCAGTAAAGGAACTCCATTTTGAAGAGTGGAAAATAGCTCCTCACATTGTTTCCAACTTCAAATAGCTGTAAAATGCAAGCGAGCTCCAATGCTTCCATACGGTTGGTTACAACTTATCACAGATATTACAAACACTATATAGCAGTGGTAATTACCTGCTGCCAAAAGCCTTGCCAGATTATGCATTTCATTTGAGATGTCAACACTAAAGTACTCTTGGAAGTATTTTGGCCATATACTCTTTGCAGCCCTGTGGAAAGAAAAAAAAACAACTAATGCTTTCTGTAAAACACATGGAACATTCATGCTACATTCATGCCTACTTTTGTAGAGTCATGGCAATTGGCAACACTAAACAGTGGTAGTGCTGGTAATAAATGTTCCTTTCTTCATTTCCATTAGTTTACAACTGTGATTCATGAGAGGAGAAGCAATCTCTTTTCAGGAGGAAATACCGGATTGATAGATTCTGCATCAGCAAGTTCAAGCAGCTGAGCCTTACTACACAAGGAGTAGAATACTTTTACTATTACACCAACGCCCAGCATGAACCTAGGGTATGAGCGGAAGCTTGATTTGTAAGAAAGATTCATTTTTGTAAGAAAGATGTTGCTTCTGAATTCTCACTTCAGCCTAGTTCCATGTTACTGACATTGGCAGTGCATGTCATGGGCAAATCAGAGGTTTATCAACAATAAAGGAATTGAACAATGAGTAATTCAGAGAACAGAATTGCTTTTATGAACTTCTATCCTTTAAAAGTTCAACAAGAAAATTTATTTGGCAAGTCAGGGCAACGCAAGCGGTGGTGTTTACGAATGTTGCAAGATCAACTAGCAACCACTCGAACAAGGGTCTATGACCCACTTTTGTGGCAGCTGCAAATGAATCAAAAGCTATTCGTTTAGTCATGTGACCTGTACTACGGTGACTTTTCTTAGCTGCGATTGGAATGCCACTAAAGGTCAAATTGGTAAAAGTTTACAGTGGAGGAGATCTCGAATGGAACAAGAAAACTGGTCATAAAATGTGCATTCACATGACTGCTGACTTGTAAAAGTGATGTGGGTTAGTGCATCAATGAATAAAAGAAAAAAGTGCTACGAAAGAATTACCTACCTGCTGAATTGCATAATAGGGCAAGATAATACACAGAAGACATAACATACAGAAGACAAAGAAGACGTTAAAGGAATCAGTGCTTACAGATTGCCTAACAAGCAAAATTATGCACATGTTTAACAAGACATCAAACCGCAGACAGAAAATCAAACACAAGTGTGTTTGTTGTGTGTAGCAGTGTATGTGTTAGCATTTAGTACATTATTCAAGATACATTATCAATTTTAATGGTTGCTCAGATAACATATTACTGTAAAATTTGCACCCTGCTAATGTTTAAAAAAAGATAAATGAAACAATGCAGGTCTTCTACAAGTACGTATGGTAGCTCATTCGGTAACGCAGATTACAGAGGTGTGGAGAGCTGACATACATTACGTAGGCTATTGACTGAATCCCTTGTCCAATATGAGTATACATTATAACGGTAGTGACAAAAAAACATTGCATTGGGTAGCAATACAATAGCCAATTTTCTTCATTTTTCTTGCACTTCCTACTACGAACCTACGAAACTTACCAGAAACATGAAGCAAGACCTGACCCAAAGTCCATGATAGAATTAGGGGAGAAAGCAGGATTTAAATGTTGAATCTGAAATGTGCAAATCGATAAACAAAATACAAGAGACAAACCGACAGAAGCTGCGTACAGCCGCAAGGCAACATAATGCGAATGCTGGCATCAAAAGCATTCCCACACAGCTCTACGGCTGGAATGTCTATCTTACCTCGTGAAAGACGTCGTGGGCTAACTGCATAGTCGCCGGCTAGTTTCCCGACAAGGTAGCCACGAGCTCCGAAATCATCATACCTGCACGAGAGAGGGTGCAAGGACAATGGAATCCACATACTTCTCAAGCATAAATTCAGACCAAGGCAAATCACAAGCATGGGAAAATCTTTTCACGGTTCCGAGAAAAAAAAGGAAATGATTGCACGCAGAAATTGAAAATTCTGAGGGACCTTAATGGTCTAGGCTATCTGGGTTGTACTTGAAACTCAACGAGATCTTCATTCTCTCTTCTTGACAACAAAAGAAATTGGAGAAAAATAGAAATGTCCTCTGTAAGCTTGAAAACTGCCTCATGTGACCTATGACAGTGGCTACATGGTGAGAAACAGCTAGGGATCACTAGTTTGCACAACTTACATCGGAATTCACATTTTTGAAGCTGTCAAATAACTAATCAATTCTCTTCCAATGACAGCGATGATGTAACTTACAGCAGGGTACGTCACTAGCCCCTGTTCGAAATGCTGGTTACACGTGAAACAATGCATACAAAGCGTTCCGCTGTGTGAATTTTTCACGCTGATTTATTATTGGGAAAAGAGGAGAGATGGATGGTGCTTATCAATACCTTAACAAATCAAGATTTATTAAAATAAGTGTCTACAAGTAAATTTCTTATCATCTACTTCCAAACCAAAGTCTACTACTTACTGCATATCATTTATACATAAGTTTAACAGCGCGAAAATAATGCAGAGCAGACAGGAAACAGGAAAAAGACGGGACAAGCGCTGACTTCAAAATGAAATTTCGTTGACAAGAAGGCTATTATATATACCTGAGTGAACAGAAAAACAGTGAAAAAAAAGACTGAAGCAAAGATACGAAATAACATCAACAATCACTGAGCCTGCTACGCGACCCTCACACATTTTCGCACTGTTAACCTTAAGTATGTACAACCAACTAGCCCAGTCAGCCACTTTGGTATGTTTCATTTATGCAATTTGAGACTCATCTAAACTGCTTTTGTGCTTTCCCGCATGCAGAAGTTCCAAAGGCAGTCCCGCAGATTCTGCACAGAACAATTTACCGGAATCACACGGCATAATTTGTGGCGATGCATGTAGTCCTCAGGATAGACAGACATATGTGGACGTGATCCCGGCTCTCCGGCAAGAAACGGAACTTTCTCAGCCCAAACTGTACGTAAAATGTTGTTCGATATTTCAGCTGTTTTCGGCCACAGATTTGTGAAGTATATATCGACTATGTAATTTAACAATATAATTCCTGATTAACAATAACTGTTCATTGGCAATGCCCATGAGACATAGAAGGGCCCTCTGGAATGCACTAAAACATGGTAAATGATCATTTTCAAACATGTGCGCCCTGCAACGTCTAACTGCATTGGCTGGGAATCTAGCCTATGACCTAATACTTGCGTCACACGGTCACGTTTGATCATGATCAGGCCTGAATCCAGGACCAAATTCATTGATCGTGATTGGCTTGTGTGTGGTTGAAATCAAGAAGAGGAAATGGGCATGGGCCGGGCATGTAGCGCGTAGACAGGATAACCGCTGGTCATTAAGGGTAACTCACTGGATTCCCAGAGAAGGCAAGCGAGTTAGGGGTAGACCGAAGGTTAGGTGGGCAGATGAGATTAAGAAGTTTGCGGGTATAAGTTGGCAGCAGCAAGCACAGGACCGGGTTAACTGGCGGAACATGGGAGAGGCTTTTGTCCTACAGTGGACGTAGTCAGACAGATAATAATGATGATGATGATGATTGGCTTGTTTAAGCAAGCTGCAGAAGAGAGCCAATCCCTATCAAAGAGTGCCATCCTAATCGTGATCAGTGGAGCAGTATGTGACAATGGTGTAAGACTCGTTGAACTATTGCAAAATGTGTTAATATAAACTAACTCCTGATTGGAGTTATCTTGGTAAGCTTAAGCAAAAATGCGGCAATGACTTAAAAAAAGAATGATAGCTCCTATACTCGCCTCATAGGCTTCCACAATCTCACTCGCTTCTTCAGGCGCTCAAATACTTGTTTTTTCGCATCTTCTTCAACGTAATCTCTTTCCTCCTGGCTCATTCTCTCAAGAGCTGGAATAGAGATAACAATATAATTAAACAAACTTATTTAACCTCTTCAGCCTCAAAATGTGTCCTAAAATGTGTGCGTCATGTAACGTATTGTAAAGTATGAGGTATGCAATGTATTGTCGTTGTTTGGCGTAAGTTACTACTTGTGTTGTGGAACATAGTGTAATGTAGTGTTGTAGAACCGGGTGTGTTGTTGCTTTGCATATTGAAGTTTATTGTAGTGTATAGAGCGAAGCGTGATGTTGTTACATAACGAAGTGTATTGTAGCGTGTAAAACAAAGTGTGTTTTTCGTATGATGTACGTCATTACGCCTGTGGTATGCGTGACGTGCCCTTCCTGCTTGGACCACTTAGTGTCCGCAGTATGTATTAAAATAAAAAATAAAAATAAATTTTTTTGGCAATGAACAGACTTCATTATCAAAACATGGAAGTTGGTGTTCAACGGCATTCATCAATAGTGTAACCTAATAAATCTCATTATTTCTGTCAGTGTTCTTGGTTTTGATGCACTTCATTTGCCAATATCATAATTTTCACAGTACCAATCACCATTGCTTTCGTGCTCATGGTACACTGCCCTGAACTTGCCACTGTCTAAATTACACCACTTTTACAACCACTGCAAACTTTGAAGCACTGTGTTTGTAAATGCATTCATCAGCTCACCAAGTGCTGAAAATGTGATATGAGCAACAATCATTCATAGCATCAAAAGGTAACAACCATTTAAGTAGTTCAGATTGTCACACCATAGCCTGAAACTGATGATGTCAAGAATATCTCTGCCTTCCAGTGCTGTTTGTATGAAGTGAGCTAACAAAGTTAAACAAATCAAGTTGCACAGATTTGTGAAAGTTTGCATAAAATCTTAGACCACCCATTGAAGAGCGTGCAAAGGTACGGAAATCTTGGCATCTCAAGATGCTCACAAGATTAGCACCAACACATTTACATTATATAGCTATGACTAACGAAAGTAAACATATGAGCAAAAGGGCAAGAAACTCACAGTTTCCAAAGAGCTCCTTCTCAATGTTCATAGCTCGGGATCTGAGCTCATCATTGTCGATGGGTAGGTGCCGAGACCAGAGCTGGTTCCTGATAACCATGGCTGCTTCGCGCAAGTTTGCTTATGTCTTGTGCTGTGAATGCAACATAAGAAATGTCACAGCCAAAAGTGTTAGCTACAAGGGAGAACAGTGGTACGCTTACCCCACATAAACTATTGGCAAGGTATAAAGTACCCTCACACACCCCAACAAACACACTCTGGGCGATAAACTGAAATTTTAAAACACCAGTGGAATTTCTTCTGCACATGCATGCTGTTAAAATGAACCGTGCACGCTAAGCCTGAAATACTGATCATGACAACAACTTAGATTGTGAGCTTTCCCTACCACGCAGTTCATTTGATCCTGCCCTTTCCTGAAAATGGGCAAATAACAACACCTCTGATATAGTAATTCTGATAACATAAAGAGAGCACTAGTATGACAACTTCAGATAATGTCTGGCAACCACACTACAAGCAGATTTGTGCAACCTTGTATAGTAGTGATTTTCTAAGCAGGTAATGCTGTTACTGTCAAAGTGCGCATAGCCGTTACTGTCACTCACAAACTGTCGGACAAAAAAAACTACCAGGCCTGTGCAGAACACGCAGCACAGCCACAGCGAAAGCTGGAACAGTGACTTTTCAAAGCCTTTTCTTAACACTCTTTAGGTCACTGTTACAAGCCCACTTGCTTATACCCGCTACACCATAAATAACCACTATTTTTATGTAGTAGGCCGGCATTCACTGTGCTGTTCTTATCATTCTTCGGAGAAGAGTGGTTGCTGCACACTAGCAAGGAATTTTGTGCATACTTTTTATCCAGTGGCTGATGAGGATAAAGAATTGTGCCTTAAGTGGGTATGCGCCACAGTTAATAAGAGATCAATAAAAAGGTTTTGTAATGAGTTGGAGCATTGGATGACCAAATCGTGGTTATTCATTTGCTGTTTAAAATGCTTTACTACTCATACTAACACGATTCCTTTCTCGACATCAAGCCAGCCTAAGGCAAGTTTGCATTAGACTTTCAAGCAGTGGCATGACTCTGCGGTAGAATACTGGGCTGTGCCACAGGAACCCGGGTTCGAATCCCGCCGTGTCTTCGGTTTTTTTTTTTTTTACAAGCGTTGTTTCTTATTTCGTGCGATAGTGGTTAAGGACACATGGCGGCGGCGGACAACTACGGCGCCCTTGTGATCTGATAACAGCTTTCTCCGTAAAAAGTTTAGTAACGCTTGCAGCAGAATACATGCACTAGCAAGCATGTTCAATGGAACTCGCGATACACATGAGTGTAACATACATAGCGGTGATCATAAAAATAAGTGATACGATTATCAAAACTTGACGGATAATCGCTCCTTTCCATGATCAATGCTACCCTGATAGGCAAGACTTCTGTTTATTCAACTAAAAGGGTATCAAAAGCACACGCATCCGGAAAGCCCGTCAGAACGAAGGCAATTTAAAAGGCACTACCTTGGTGCCCACCCACTCAAAACGAACTCGATGACGGGATATAGATACACTTCGTAAGTGTAATTGTCCCCTATGCCGCAGCTTCATCAACGTCTGCTCAAACCTGCGGGTATTTATTACGTGAGGAAGAACTTACTTTCGAGAACAGCTTCGGCCGCCGTCAGTAGTTTCTCTGGAAGCTTGACTTGCTTCCGTCTTCGCGCTCCAGGGTGATTCCTGTGCTTGATCTCGGCCGCATCGAGTGCATCGCTGAGATCGCTCGGCAGTGAGACGGCATTGCTAGCTTTAGTAATCGGCTGCGTCCAGAAAATCTCAATATCAGGGACGACACTAAGGAAGAACAAAGCAGCTTCGGCGCGTAACCCGACAGTCCGACACAACCTCTAACGTAGACGCCTTAGCGTTATCGATGAGCTAAAGGATCCGTGGAACTGCGCAAGGAATCTCGACAAGTAACTGTAGACGAAACCTAAATGAGTTAGCTAAAAACAGATAAAAACAGACACACATTTCATAAAGTAAATACTCGGCCCAGATTTTCCCACGATAAACTCACCCGAACGCTGCAGATGCAGGGTTTTGTCCTCAGAAACCTCAGGAGCTTGTGTAAATGACTCATTTTTGAAATTATCATCAATTGAAAGCGACGGCCACAAGCGCGCACATGGCACAAAAAGCCAAACAACGTTTGCTCTTGTTGGATTGGCTGCGGATGGTCGCAGCTCGTTTCTTTTAGTTCAGACTGTGATTAGTTCCGGTTTTGAAATCGAATTTGAAATTTGAGTTTACCGGACAATTCATTTAAATACCGCATTTTTCAGACATAAACACCGACTTCCTTTCTCCGTGAGGGTGAACAAAAGAAGCGAAGTCGGCGCAGTGGTTCGTTGTTACGAAGTCGTCTTTGTATTATCTCCAAGAGTCTTACTACTACCATACTCCACCATGATTCCAGTGGTTATCGGACTCCTCATTTTCATATTCACCACACAGCCTCTAACTTCCATCGTCACACTCCACTGTCGTCTATAAAGAAAGTGGTGATTATTTATTTGTATGGCCTTCATAAAATGTCAGAGCATATTTGAGCAGCATTGCGCTTCATGTCATATCGTCGTCTACATAAGTTTTAATTCACGTTGGCCGAGCTCCACAAGAACTTCAACAGCTGGTCGCTGCAAGCAGTAGTTTTGATAGCGTTTTACTGCGAAGCGTTGTTTCACTTTGTCTTCCCATGGTGATGGCTCATAGACACTGCGTGAGATTAGAGTTGAGGAAACCGCAGACAAACTCGTCCTCTACTTGACGCTTACTTCAACATAAGGTGCCTAATATAGCGCAACCAGGATGGGACAGAGAAGAAGACACATCTCTGTCCCGTCCTGGATGCGCTATACACCAGATACTACGGATGACCAACAAGCCCGCCGTGCAACACCTTAGTCATGAAATTTATTTTTACAGCAATCGCGGCAAGCGAGGTACAAGCAGCATAAGAGGCGCCAGAGGTGCTCGATGTAGTGGTTGAACTGTTGTCGTTACATCATAGGTATCCACATTGAGCACAGAAAATGTTGGGCGGGAGGGGATTAGTATGAACAAGGGTAGGAAAGGGGGGGGGGGGCATGTGGCGCAACTGCCGTCACGGCGAGTAGTGAGACACACAAATCGTTCATAATGATGGCAGTTTTCTGGCATGGCCACACAGTTTACGCTGAGCTATAAGTGCTTCCCCGTCAATAATATATATAGCCCCCGATATGTGGCATTCCAAGAACCGTTTACTTCCCATCTTCAATACCGTGAAGCCAGGAACCAAAGGCAGGCCCCTGTGGAAGCATATCGTCTTTTCATCTTTTTTTGTCTTTTCTCGACAAGAGGGTGGAAAGGGGGGTTAATGAACGCAGAGTTATATGATTGAATAACTTTGTAATGAACATTCACCTTCTCTAATGGCGAATACTGCGCCCGGTTGACCGTAGCGGTGGCTGCGTTTGGGCGTCCGAAGACACTGGCACGAACACACTGGCGGCGCCGCATTCTGCCGCGCGCCGCTCGCGAGACGCCGCTTTTCTCTTTTTCTCCCGCTGAGCGTCGTGGAATTTCTGCCGCCACGGAGAAAGGAAAGGTGACGATGGAAGTTAGAGGCAGTGTGGTGAATATGAAAGTGAGGAGTCTAATGGTCATGAAATCATGGTGTAGTATGGTCAAGACTCTTGGAGATGGTACAAAGACGACTTCGTAACAACGAACCACTGCGCCGACTTCGCTTCTTTCGTTTATTCTCACGGAGAAAGGAAGTCGGCGTTTATATACGAAAATTGCAGTATTTAAATAAATTGTCTAATAAACTCTTATTTCGCATTTATTTCAAAACCGAAACAAATCACAGTTTGAACTAAAAAAAACGAGCTGAAACCATCCGCAGCCAATCCAACAAGAGCAAGAAATTGTTTGGCTTTTTGTGCCATGTATTGTGAACTAGATGTGCGCCTGGAAGGCTGCTTTATCGAGCTGCTTTATCGAACCACGCTCGACTTCTGCTAGGCGCGGTTCATTCCGTTAATTAAAACGGCCTCTTAATCGCACGGCAGCGCCACGCTCGACTACTGCTAGGTGCGGTTCATTCCGTTAATTAAAACGGCCAGTGTCACTCGTTCACGAAATGCACCGCAGATGGCACCAAATTCTCACGGAAAAACCACAACTACAAAAAAAATGTTTGCAGTCAAATTTAGCGGCAGTCTGGCAACACTGACCCTCACAGTTTGGTGAGTGTTAGGTGTTCTAGTAGGTGTTCTGTGATTTGGTCTTGCTCTGTTCTCAATTATTGACAGCATGCTGAGGCAGACACCTCATTATGCGGAAAAGTAAGTGATCAATGACGTACCGTCTCATATTGCAGCTCACGCATGAAACCTGTTTCATGCCTGCCGACTATCTTGATTTTGCTGGGAGACTCCTCAATACTGACTGACCCTCCGGGTCGACGTGCACGTTCCCGAGCTATCGCTCAAAGAAAACTATTTACAGAATAAGAAAGATGGGCTAGTTGATAATGAATTGAATGGGGCAGCGTTACGACGAAGACACGTACGAGAAATGACACGGCAAGTGCTGCTAAAAACTATTTACGACTCATAGACGAGCGTTTTTTCTTTCCCGCCGTCCATGCGAATGCCGTTATAAACACCGCAGGCCATGAAAAGTGTTTCTACGCAAATTAAGTGTTGTACGCTGATTTATCGATTCTACTTTTTTGCAATGAGTTCGTGTTACAGACCGGTTCATACAGTAGGGTCATGCGGTGAGGCCTACAATGACGGCGAGGGCACGCCAGCTGTCGCGAGACACAGCACATCTCGTTTCATAATTGTGAGTGAGTGTTGAGAGCACACATACTAGGTGCATGATGGAAAGTTCGCCCCCCCCCCCCCCCCACCCACCTCTCATATGCTATAGTGATCGCTAGCTTTGAAGTAACAGCTGGCTGTTCAGGATAGGATCCCGAGTGTTTTTCTGTCCCTGTGTGGTGCTCCACAGGGATGCAAATGAATCTCATCTGCTTTACTGCCAATAAATAGACAGCTTACTTCACTCCAAGATATGTCAGGACAGCATTGCAAATGTCGTCTTCGAAGAACTGGCCTGTGTCACCCATGTACCAACTACATTGTTTATATTGCTCATTGTGTTATGATCGTATCTAATAAATTAAAAAAAATGAATTAAACAAAAAATGTTACAATTCATCATGCATGCCAATGCTGATGCAGCAAATGCTCATTTTTCAGTGTTCAAAAGCAGTTCTCTACTAATCTAAGCACATTGAAATAGAACTGCTGTGTCTGTCTTCTAACCTGTTTGCTGTTGGCACAGCTCACAAGTAATGTTTTTGTGCTGCTAACCTAAATGTAGGATAGCCTTTATCGAACTTGTCTGAAGTTTTAAGGAACGGTCATTGTTCAACAGGTGAATGTGAACAACTACGTAGTGCCAACTGTCTTCTTGAGTACACTGCAATATTAGGACATCACTGTGACATTTAATAAATTTCAAAGAATGACGTGAAGAAATGTGGAATATTCATTTGTAAAAACAGTTTCTGCATAAACCCACACTGTATGCCAAAAAATAACAAGCAGCACACACAGATGCTTTTTAACTAGTGGTACATATTGATTCTTTTACTTCTTTTTTATTAGAGAGGTATGCCTTGAAGAAGAATGCCCTGAAGGGTAAGTCACATTTCTAATGTTTTACCTTTTTTTAATATATTCAATCAAAACAAGCATTCAGTTTCAACTACTTTATTTCGCTATCATAAAATCTGCCTGTGACAGTTGTACCTGTAACATAGTTTGCTAACGGCACAGCAATCAATTCGTGGCTGTCTTTTGTTCATAATTGTGAATCCTTGCTGTTTTCAGTTACATATTTGGTTCACATGCTGAGAGGAGCATTGGCTTGTTTATAAGCATTTTCTTTTACGCTAAATAGATGCCCTAAAACTCCTTTATAGGGACCGCCAAGAAATTCTTTTGGTACCTGTTTTCTTGGAGTGGTTCTCAAGAGAAAGGAAGAGAAAAGTGAGCCCCGTTATTGTCTGCTTCAGTGAGCGACACCGCCACAGAGCTCACAAGGGATGGGGGTGAGGAGGGATAAAAGGGTAGAAGTAAAGGTATAGAAAAGAGGAAGAAGAAGCAACAACAAACTGAGGGGATAGGAGAGACAGGAAAGATGGAAGAACGGTCACTGGAGTCCGAGGACGGGGTACACTTGCGAGAGATGTTGTCGGCGTCTGTAGATGGCGTAGAGCAGGACCAGTAAATTAGTGCAACAGAAAGCCTACCATTCAGTGTCTAAACGTGGAATGGTAACATGGAAAACAATGTGCCGCGTTTATCAGAATCTCTCATTCAGTGCTAACATGGAGCCGTATGCAAAATGCATGCTGGAAGCAGTGGAAAGTGAATGCAGTAATGAAATTCAGGTTTGTGCTGTGCAGTTGCCTGTGCATGTATACACCTTTGCCGCATACACAATGGCTGACGTGTTCCACTAGTTGGTGCAAACACAGCGACTCTTTACAGCGTTAACTCCTTTTACCTTGTAAGCAGCTCAGAACAGAGCGGGAGGAAATAATAACAACAACACTGTAATCTTGGGCAGTAATTGTGATGCACATGAGAGCATCAGCCTACATGCAGCTAAGAGAATGTTCAACTCCACAGTGTAGCGTGACTAGGCTGTGTGATGTACCATGTTTTTTTGTAACATATAAATGCAAGCTATACATCTACTTTTTTTTAATTCATGAAAATGATGCTTGAATATGCCACTGTAGGAGTCCCGGTATGTTTATTTCCATGAATATCTAATCACATGGTTTAGATAAGTGTCTAACCCTTTTATGCACTGCAAATTTAGCAATGTTTGTTTCTTTTTTCTAATAATTACAATTTTATGTTGTACTTGTTCGTGTTTGGCTTCATGCAGTATGCGAGATGTCACTGATGTATCGTTTTTACAGTTCTTACAGGTCTTCGCAGGCTACGAACAGAAGCAACTGCTCGGCTGTGCCACCTACCACGCCTTCAATGTAAGAATGCCCATGTGAACTTTGAATGTTAAAGCTGCTTGGGTTTGATCAAGCTAGAGGTATCATGCTTGAGCAAGTACAAATTTGTGATGTCAGAAGAGATAGATAACATACAAGAAAAATGATGACAACAGACTGGCAGCACACATTTTAATTCTTTTTTGGATTGTACAAATGAATAGCAGCTTGGACATATCTTTTAAGTCATCCTGCATCAGCTGCCTCCAGTTTTTTTCATAGGACAGGTGTCATCTGTGCTCTGCTTGCACTGCCTATTGCAGGTTGGCAGTCACATGCTTTGAGTATTGCTGTCAATGTACAGTTGCATCACACAATTCAACTTAATTGTCTGTTTTTGTTAACATTGTGTTGCTAGTACACTTATTCTCTACAGGCATAATCACTCACTTGGAAGTCATCAGTTTCTGCCCCTTGTTTTTGTTAACATTGTGTTACTAGTACACTTATTCTCTACAGGCATAATCACTCACTTGGCAATCATCAGTTTCTTCCCCTTTCCTTAGCATCACTCTGTGTGCCAACATGTGAAACCAAGCTGCCCAGATTTGCATATGAACTTCACGACAGCTTTTCTAATCCGTGCCTTGTTTCTGTTTCTTCTGCAGGCCCACCGGGAAACCCACAGATTTCACACCATCTCGGTAATTACACCCTCCACACTTTTTGCAAACACTTTAATGGCACTTATCGGTAAGTGTAAGTTTGTTTTGCAGGAAGAAAAAACCTTCCAGTGATGAGGAAATCGAAGCAAGTATAAAAGACCTGCTTGGCAGCTGCTCCACCTCCATTCAAGCGATTTCAAAGAAAAAAGAAGCACTGCAGCCCGATGAGTGCGAGATAGCTGGAAGGCTTGTAGCTGTCAAACTCAAGGCATTACCGAAGAGAAAGCGCTCACAGGTGCTTTTTGAGATCCACAAGCTTTTACATGAAGCTGAAATGGAATGTCTGGAGGATTCCGATTGAAATTATAGGACATATTAATGAGACTAGCATTACTTCAAATTTGGACAAGTGTACAATTATAAATCATTCATCACATCATATAGCGATTCTATCGAAATTATGTCAACCTAATGTCAATTAGGTCGACCAAATCATCATACCGTCTTTTCCGTCCTCTTTATTGATGTATCTGTGCTTGTAAACCACGCCGTCGCCATCGCGGTACGAGCAGCATTGACAAGCAATCCCAGGTTTACATGCAGAGATACACCTGATAAAGTGAATGGCCCGACGGGCAACTGCCTTAGCTCAATTGGTACAACATCAGGTGCCTTATTCGAAGGTTGCAGGCTCTGTTGCTATAGACAGCAACTTGCCTTTTTGTCCACTTTTATTGTCACACCTAACTGTAACTACTACGAAAAATCTCCCCTATACTATCCGTTAAAAAAAACTAGCCCTTCAACTCTCCTCCTTTTGTTAATGATTAGGGTTATAAACAATGAAAGGATTGGTGAAAAGCTGATGATGCTATTTTTTTAAAGGGGTACTGACACAAAATTTTTTGTCTATTGTTTTATGTGTCAAATGACAGGCCAACACCCCAAGAGCGTAGGAAATATACCGGTAAGCATGAGTGCGTCCCGGAAAATTAATTACAGCAGGCCTTTAAAAGCTAGTTTTGATTCTACTGTACCCTGGCATCATAGCATAGTACGAGCAGCGCCACCAGGTGGTTTATGCATGCATAAGTTTTTGTGATGTATTCTTGTCCACACATCGCTTCTTCAATCGTCTGCTGTATGCAGATCGCTTCTTCAATCGTCTGCTGTATGCTGCACCTGTCGCAGCTGTCGTAGCAATTCGAAATCAACGATTTCTCTGGCCTCTGATAAGCGTATATCTTGCGTTTGCATGCGCATACCCTGTTCTAGAGTCCACTAGCTGGCTTCACAGGTACGCTGAATGATAGTGACTGGAAGGCGCGAGCAGGTGATTGAGAAGGTGAGGCGGAAGCTAGCTTTTTTGTTTTGTTTCGGTGCTCGACATCATCACAACTAGCCACACTGCTATGTAAAGTCACCAGGATTAGTACTGTAGCTCGATGTCAAGTTTGTGTCAATGTTTGTAGATTCGACACGAGAAAAACAAGTTTCACATGAAAACAAAATATTTTATCAGCATTTGCTGAGTGTGACACTTGCTCAGAGCAGTCTCTGTATACAGGAGATTTGTATGGCAGAGTAAACTTGCCTCCCAAAAAAGGTGTCAGTACCCCTTTAACTTATCTATAAGTTTTGACAAAATATGTACACTTATTTGGTTTTCAGATGTAGGAATAAAACTAATTCGGAGCCGATAGTGACAGTGAAATCAGTCAAGAAGTAATTATCAGTGGCTGTTATGCATCGCTCAAATCTGATTAGTTCAATATTGTCATTAATAAGCGTAACTCAGTGTGCGACCATCGGCTACAACGACACTCCAGAATTGTCTAGGGTTTGTATGCAGTGCTGAGTAAACTAGAAGAATCCAGTTTTTGCTTGTCTCACACATTGGCAATAATGATTTTATGATTAGCGGGAGCTGCTTGTCCTACTAGATTTGTGAAAGTGCTTTGATCTGTTGTCTTTTGTGAACCATGGGTAAATTTTGTCTGTTTTCACAAGAATCATGAGTATAGATTCAATTTTCAAGGTTTTCTTAATGTTTTATCGATTTTCCACAGTGTGTGCTATGTTCTCTAAAATTGTTGTCAAAAGTGACCCACTTTGTTTACAAGCAATTGATAATTTATAGTCAGTGAATACTTCCCTCGATGGGTTCTTGTTTTTATTTTGCTGATGGAAGCTCCTTGTCCCATTAGATTTGTGATGAAGCCTCTTCCTGGTGAGGAGCCTTCCTTTTCAGATGTGTTTTAAACCACGGGAATTTTGTCTGTTTTCAAAAGAACTACGAATGTAGGTTTGCATTTTAAGGTTGCGATATTGTTTTTATAGATGTCCCTCTGTGTGTTTGGTATTTTGTTTGAAATTGTTCCAAAAAGTCGTGTACTATGCTTATTTATAAGCCGTTTAGAGTTTAATGTCAATGATTTCCTCGATGGGGACCTTTTTTGTTGCACACGCAGTACACTCATCACTAAGCTTAGGCAGAGCCCGAACAATATAGTCAGGTACAGCTTTAGATGTCTGTAGCATTTACTCCTCAAAGGCCACAAGCCTTCACCAATGGGGGCGAAATTTAGACTGATGTCATGAGTTGGATGGCCGGGATACCCGGTTTCGGAAAATGAAAAGTGCATGAGAACGACTGCTTCTTTAGTGGTAAAAATGGTTCTTTAGTGCAGAAAATGTGTTCCATGCTTGCCTTTCTGGCAGTGAGTGGCTAGAAAGGCAAGCCTGGACATTTCCTGGTTAACAGTGTCCGATTAACACTAAAATGAGCTGCCAGAGCATGGATAAGCAGTATCAACGGCACTTCTCAAATGCTTATTTGGGGTACGTCTGTCACGTTGTATATAAATAACAATTAGCTCTGAAAGATACTATGTTACGATATACATTAGCACAGACACTCTGTTAGGATAGTATGATAAACACGGTATCATGTACCGTATTTACTCGATTCTACCGCGCCCTCGATTGTAACGCGCACCCGATTTCCACCGCGAAAAAAAAAAAAAAAAACGTAAGACATCGATTGCAACGCGCACCCATTTTTTCTCGCTGGCCTGCACGATCACACCACTCGAAAAAGCGACTCCTTTCGGGAGCGTCTTCCATTTAAATATGAGGTACGGGCGAAGCTTGTGCCCATCTGACGTGTAACAGACCATTGCCGTCACTGTAGTTTTACCGTGGACCGATGTCAGCACGCGAACTTGCTTCGCCCCCTTCTTCTCGACGGTTGTGGTGCCAGGCATGTCGAAGTAAAGAGGCGTCTGATCGGCATTCCCGATTTGCCCAAGCAGGTAGCCGTTGTTGCGCCGCAAGTTTAGGACGAACCTCTGAAAACTGAAGCTCTTCATCGTACACCTCCGCAAAACTTTTTGCATGTGCATGTTCCCCTTCGGAGGTAAAAGCCTTTCCTCTTCATATAGTTAGCCAGCACCTGCTCGCTTTAAACTGGCTCCGCATTAGACCTTTTTCTAAGACTAATTGCATAACCCGCACTTGGAGCAGTTCTGTCGTCACGGGCCGCTGTGCCGCTCGCTGCTCAAGCACATACTCGCCGAGCAGCTCTTTAATTTGCGGAAACCGACCCTGCTGTGGTCCACTGAAGCCTTTGTGCGAAGCTTTGCTGTCGACAATCTTCTGCTTTTGTTTCCGCCGGTCCCGCACGCACGTTTCGGGAACTCCGAACGACCGCGATGCGGCCCGATTTCCGTCCGTTTCTGCACACGCGATGACTTTTCTTTTAAAAGCGGCATCGTGGTGCAATCGAGTTTTTGGAGTCGGCCCTTCCAAGCCGTCGATGCTAATGTACTACTAGATGATCAACTCCTCAGCACACGTACGAAGTGCCGCACATGAGAAACACATAGGCAGAAACGGGCGACGCGCCATGCCGACGCACATAGGGGGCGGCCATTTTGGATTTGCCGATGGCAATAGATTGACCGCAATTTTTCGGTTCGTACTCGATTCTAACGCGCATGTGATTTATAAACTCGCTTAACCGGAAAAAAGGTGCGCGTTAGATTCGAGTAATTACGGTATTTGTGTTCAAAGTGAACCTACACTGTAGACTCTCAGAGCATGCAGATTATTAAAATAGAACTGTTGCTTGAATAAAACAACTGCATTTTCATAAGAATGAAAGCTTGAGTGAGTAGGTACGCGTTAATCTTGGTTGATACAGCGCACACGGAACAACGAGAATAAACACAGTACGGGTGCTGACTCAGAAATAAATTTTGTTGGGAAAAACAAGCATATATATGGCGACATACAACATAACAAAAAAGAACAAAAAAAGGATCCTAGCTAAGAAAAACAGGTACACATATATAAAGCAGTATGAGTCTTGGGACAGGAGAAGAAGCACGAAAGTCGGGGCAGGAAAGAACAGTAGGATGAAGTTAGGAATGATGGACGCCAGTCCCTACTGAGGCTATAATGCTGCTCCGTTCTTTTAAGTTGAAACACTACATTATTTTGGCGCAGCGGGCCATCGAAGCCAACATGTGGGTGACGTTCTTCGTTGACGAGACCTCCACGGACAAGATCATCTTTTCGAAGTACCAAGTTCAAGATGAAGCAGTGGTGGACCTACCTCGTGAGCTCTGCTCGGAAGAACTCGTAAACCTGGTTGTGGGAAAGGCAGCTGTGGACGCTACTGAACTACAAAGGAAGGGTGCTGTAAAAGTGAACTTGCGTGTGGCGACCTTCTACAACCTAGTTCATGAACCAGCGTGTCGAAGAAACTCAGGATCACGATCTTTGACGAAAGAGGTGAGCCTCGTTTTGAAGGCTCTTCAGCTGCAACATGAACAGATTATGCAACAGAACGAAATAATGACATCCTTTATAAGCTCTCTGAATGCTGAGAAACCGGTGCCTAAATTCGTAGAGCCTGATGCCTTCGACGGTATCTCTTCAAATCCAGAAAGTTTGCTTGAGTTCTATGAATATGCGGCTGAAAAAAAAAAAAAAAAAAACAGGTGGCTCTCTGATGATGATAAAATCACTAACAT